ACAATAGGAACAATAAGCAAATACAACAAAGTTTATGGATACAAAATCGGTGTTCAAAAATCCATAGCATTCCTATACTCTAATAATGAAATGTCAGAAAAAGAAGTGGAAAAAATAATTCCTTTTGCAATTGCAACAAAAAGAATAAAATGCCTAGGAATAAATTTAACGATACATGTGAAGGACCTACATAATGAAAACTACAAGATCCTATTAAAACAAATCGAAGAAGATACAAAAACATGGAAAGATATTCTGTGTTCTTGGATTACATGAATGCACATAGTTAAAATGACCATATTACCTAAAGCATTAAACAGAATTAATGCAATCCCCAGCAAAACCCATCGGCCTTTAAAAAAAGAAATAGAACAAAAAAATCATCAGATTTGTATGGAAGCACAAAAGACTCCGAACTGCCAAAGTCATCCTGAGAAAAAAAGAATGAGGCTGGAGGCATCACTCTGCCCGACTTCAAATTATACTACAAAGTGACAGTAATCAAAACGGCACTGTATTGGTAGCAAAAGAGACACACGGACCAGTGGAACAGAATCAGGAGTCCAGAAGTAAATCCACGTTTATAGGGGCAAATAATTTTCAACAAAAAAAGCCAAAAAACATACCGTGGAGAGAGGAAAGCGTCTTCAATAAATGGTGCTGAGAAAGCTGGAAAGTCACCTGCAAAAGAATGAAACTAGACTATTGTCAATCACCACACACCAAAATTAACTCAAAATGGATTAAGGACCTGAATATAAGACCTGAAACAATAAAATGCACAAAAGAAAACATAAGAACGAAACTCAAGAACCTTGGACTTAAAGAATATTTTATGAATTTGACCTCAAAAGCAAGGGAAGTAAAAGCTAAAATAAATGAATGGGACTACATCAAACTAAAAAGCTTCTGCTCAGCAAAAGAAATTGTCAACGAGGTAAAGAGACAGCCATCTGAATAGGAAAATAAATTTGCCAGCAATGCCTCCGATAAGGGCCTCATAACCAAAATATACAAGGAACTCATACAACTCAATAACACCAAAAAACACAAATGATCCAATCAAAAAATGGGCAGAGGACCAGAACAGATCCTTCTCCCTAGAGAACATACAAATGGCCAACAAATATTTGAAAAAATCTCCACTTGCTTGCTGTTAGGGAAATGCAAGTCGAAACCACAATGAGATATCATGTCACACCTGTTAGAATAGTTGTTATCAACAGGACAAGTAATGACAAATGCTGGAAAGGATGCAGAGAATAAAGAACCCTCATACATTGCAGGTGGGACTGCAAATTGGTACAGCCACTATGGAAAACAGTATGGAAGTTCCTCAAAAAACTAAGAACGGATCTACCATATGATCCAGCAATCCCTCTACTGGGTATTTACCCCCAAAGACTTGAAAACCCATATCTGAAAAGATATTTGCACACCATGTTCATAGCAGCATTATTCACAGTGGCCAGGACATGGAAGTAAGCAAAGTGTCCTACGATAGATGATTGGCTAAAGAAGCTGTGGTACATATATACAGTACATATGTATGTGGTACATGTATACAGGAATATTACTCTGTCATAAGAAGAGATGAAATACTGCCATTTGTGGCAACATGAATGGACCTTGAGATAATTCTGCTAAGCAAAATAAGCCAGACAGAAAAAGTTGAAAATCACATGATAGCACTTATATGTGGGATATAAAACTAAAAGGAACACATGAACAGGACAAAGAAACAGAGGCTCATGGACATGGACTACATTAGTGGTTACCAGAGAGTAGAGGGTGGCGCAGGAGGGGGGAGGTAGACGGTTAAATGGGGTCAAATATAGGAGGAAAGGGAGAGGGTGAAGTGGGTGAAGAGGATCAAATATATGGTAGCTGAAGGAATCTGGACTTTGGGTGGTAAACACACAGTAGAATATACAGATGTCAAATTATAACATACATCTGAAAATTGTACAATTGTATTAACCAATGTTACCCAATAAACTTAATTAAAAAAAAAAAAAGCAAAAAGGGGCAGGAACCACTTTTCCCTTCAAGCCTCTGGAGTGACTGTGGTCCTGCTAGTTTCAGATTTCTATTCTCCAGAACTGTGAGAGAATACTTTTATGTTATTTGAAGGCACCAAGTTTGTGGAAAGTTGTTACTCTTAGGAAGCTTAATATAGTCTCTAAGGCTATAGAACTTCTTGCCCCAGAAATTCATGAAATTGAACAAGCACTGGTTCAGAAGGAGCTTTCTTAGATATAAAATTGGCTTTTTGAGGGAGAACGTGGGCATTTTAACAGTAGAATCTTGTGCTTACATCTCTGCTGATCTCTCTGAGATCTTTAATACTACTGAAAATTCCAGAAGTAAACCTAGAAATCAGAATTAGGTAAATCAGAGAATAACCTCATAGCTGCTTTGGCAGACTCTTCAGGTTAGGTATGAAATTTATTTCCTTGGTTTAATATGGGCGCTATTGGCTCTGGGTTCAGAAGTAGACTCTATACTCTTGCCAACCTCGAGAAAGAATGCAACTGCTAAGAAGGACTCCTTGTAGTGAACTGGACCCAAATTCATAGAGTCTAGCAGCCATGTTTGCAGAGGCCTCTCATGCACACCCTGTATCTGGGAAAAGCCATGAACTGAGCTGTTAAGCTTCCTACATTGTTTTCCTGCCATCTGAGCCAAACCTTATAGAGCAGCACCTGGTACTGTATTTCCATCAATGAGACTGCAATCTTCCTTGTCCAATTGGAATTATGCAGCTGTATCCTCACTTGCATCTTTACCAACCAGAGTGGCTTCTTGAAAAACAGTTAGGATGGTACTTTTTGGACCAAATTGTGTGAAGTTGGGGTCTCCATTTGCCTAGAAATGGATCAATCAGGGATCAGGGCTGAGAACTTCTCCCTGTGTAAGTCAGCTTTCCCTCTGTCTCCAGGGAGTGTACTTTCTGCTGCATTTCCCTCCCTGACTTGAGCCGTGAAACTGGAGCCATTTCCAGTTTCCATAAAGTTCCTCTCTTCACCTCACCCCAGATTCAGGACTCCTGTTGGCATTGGATTGGTGGCAGTGACTTTTGTTGACAGGTTCAATGTAGTTTTTCAATAAAGCTAAATATTGCTAATGTTATATTGAGAGATTACGCTCTTAACATTTTATGTGAAAATGTACTTCCTTTTATAAAAATAGTAGTAGGCAGCTTTAAATTGCCTTCAGTTGGCAAAATAAGAAAATTGGCAATCTTGTATTTTCCTCTAAATATTTTCAAAAGATTTATTGCCTAAGATCTGGAACTACTAGTCTAGAGTAAGAGAGAAGAGAAAAGAAGAACGAACAGTGTGTAACACCTAGTAAGTCGATTTAGGTTGAACAAGGTAAATGCCCTTTCTAAAGGAGCGTTGGCAGGAATACCTAAGTCTCCCTTGGGAGTCAGGGAAGGCTTCACCGAGGAGGTAACATTTGAGCTGGGGCTTTATAGATCAGCAAGGGAGAAACTGCAGGTCATTCCAAACAGAATTCATAATGCGACCCGCAGCACAGAGCACAAAAAAAGGTCTACGTGTCTAGTAGCTCTGAGTAGCCTGGTGGCTGCTGCGTAGAATTCTTGGGGTTAGATGATCAGAAATGAGACGGGGACTATTTTTCTCTACTTGGCCCGTTTTCTTTACAGCTCATTGCACAGTGCTGGGCACACAACTGCAGGACCTCAATAAATACTTGTTTAGTTGGGACAGGGTGATCGACTGTACCGGGAACCAGGGCATCTGGATTCTTTCTCACGCACCCGCAGTGTGACCTTAGCCAAGTCCCTTTTCTAAGGGCCGCAGCTTACTGTTTAGTAATCAGCCTCCGGAGGAGGGGGTTGGCTCCAAGCGCCCGGCTTTCTAGCGCCTAGAATCTCTGATTGGCCGCGTGGAGGGCGGGGCGGACAGCGCCGTGCGGGCGGGCGGAGGTTCAGTTCTTCCTCCGCTCCAGCAGAGGGCGCGGGGAGCGGATTACCGCTGCCGTTCTCGGGTTGAGCGCGGGGCGGACTGC